AAAGAAATGAGTAAAAATGAAGAGGAGAAAATTATCAATCAATTTAAGAAAATTTCCCAGAACTGAAGGACGAGAATTTCCAGACTGAAAGGTCACACCATAACTGAAGGTGATGTCCAGCACTACAGGAAAGAAACAAATCACATAAATGAATATCACTGAGACACTTCAGAGCACTGGCTAAAGAAAAGGGAGGGAGGTGGGAAGGGGGTTCAGGATTGGGAACACATGCACACCCATGGCTGATTCATGTCAATGTATGGCAAAACCACTACAATATTGTAAAGTATTTAGCTTCCAATTAAAATAAATAAATTTAAAAAACATTTTTTTAAAGAAAAGGGATTCTAAAAGCTCCTGAGGGTGAGGGATGAGAAGAGAAGAGGGAAAAGGGAAGGGAAGTCACATACCAAGAAGGATGAATCAGAATACTCCAGATATCTCAGCCTCAAAGCTGCTACCTGGAGCATAGTAGAATCCTTCAAATTTTAAGAAAAAAGCCCTTGAAATCTATAATTCTAGACACCCAGTCCAACTATCACAAAAGTTAATGGTAGACTTAGGACATTTTCCTGTTCAGATACAGAAATGTCTCCATATCCACCTCTCACGCAGTCTTGTAGGAAATTACTAGAGGATGCACTCCATCAGGAAAGGACAGTAAACCAAGAAGAGGTAAATCTCAGGACCTCAGGATCCAAGGATGAGGGATCCAGTACAGGAAGAGGGCAAAGGGGATTTCTGGGATGCTGTGATGGACATTCCAGGAAGACTCCTGAGAAGCAGGTGGTGAGAACAAATTCCCAGATTGGAGCACTAGGAGACAAGGTGTGTCTTCAAGAGAAAAGGGAAATCTGAGATTATCCAAAGTGTTAGAATATATTACGAGGAAGGTAACGCTTTGTAAAACAACACAGGATGAATAAGACATAAGCATAGGGAAAATTAAGCCAAAAAAATAAAAAGATGAAAGTATAACTATCTAGGGAGGGATTGGGGGCAGGAGGAGAAGGGGACGACAGAGGATGAGATGGCTGGATGGCATCACCGACTCGATGGACATGAGTTTGAGTAAACTCTAGGAGTTGGTGATGGACAGGGAGGCCTGGCATGCTGTGATTCATGGGGTCGCAAAGAGTCGGACACGAGTGAGCGACTGAACTGAACTGAACTGAGACAACAAAATTTTAGAAGAAAGTAATTGTAATCATTGTGTTGATGGAACTCAGAATAGGAGACCCCTAAATATACCCCTTGGCATATTTAATATTTTAAGTTGAAAGAGTCTGAGAAAACTGAATAAGCAAGAGGGCCTCTTTGACCTTCTCCTGCCCCTCTCCCCTGAAGCAGGTCACGTGATCCTTGCTTGAGAGGTACCCCCCCTATACCTATAGGAAAGGAACATCCGTGTCTCTAGAACCCAGAATCCAGATGAACAGGTCTTGCTAAGTTTTCCTTATCGCTTCACTGACTTCACATCCTTTGTCCTATCACATTTCTCCACAGCTGTCCATTCTTCATCAGACCTAGCAAAAACATTCAGATTTAACCACTTCTTCAGATCTTCATTTCTTTATGAAGGTCCCCATGTCATGTAGCAGTGTTAATCACTCAGTCGTGTCCAACTCTTTGCAACCTCAAGAACTGTAGCCTGTCAGGCTCCTCTGTCCATGGAATTCTCCAGGCAAGAATACTGGAGTGGATTGCCATTCCCTTCTCCAGAGGATCTTCCTGACCCAGGGATCAAACCCAGGTCTCCTGCATTGCAGGCAGATTCTTTACCATCTGAGCTCCAGGGAAGATCCTATGCAAAAATGTGTTAAATAAATGTGTATGCTTTCCTCCTCCTATTAATCTGTCTTTGTCAGTTTAATTTTCAGACTCAATCAAAAGAGTCAAGGAAAACATTTTTCCTCCCCTATAGTATACTACATGGGTCAGCTGTAAATGATATTTAAATGGGCATAATAATAAACATTGAATATTGGTTTAGCAAAGAGGAAGCTGTAGCTATACTAGAACAAAGAAAGGGTAACTTCATGTTTGAAGGACAGGAGTGCCAAGGCTAGAAATAAGAATTTATCAATAGTAATAAGTTGAACAAAATAGTATTACATGAATGTTATTTATAAATACCAGGAAAAAGATCTAAAAGTTGAAAGTAGTCTTTGAGGAAAAATAATCAGGAGAAGGAAGGTAGAGAAGACTGCTGTTTTGAAATGATAAACCTTGTGAAATACTTGATTTTTTAAATTTTAATTTAGAAGGTAGAAAAAAGACTTTTATCCTCAGAGACTCAAATTTAATTTATAAATAATGACAAATGAACATTTTAATTATGGTTGACTTAGGAAAATAAGGATTGAACAGGTTTAGACTCGTGACTTCCTGCTGGCACATACTGAGGGCATAATGATTCATAACTGGTAATACCATTAGGATACTTTCTGAGGTATGAGATTCTCATCTTGAATACCATCACCGTGTAACCATTCTGCCAAATTTGAATGGTCCTATTTGCACCCCGCAGTCTTTCTTCCCAGGTGGCTCAGTAGTCAAGAATCCGCCTGCTAATGCAAGAGACACAGGTTTGATCCCTGGGTAGAGAAGATCCCCTGGAGAAGGAAATGGCAACCCCCTTCAGTATTCTTGCCTCGAGAATTCCACAGGAGTCTGGCAGGCTAAAGTCCATGGGGTCATAAAAGCATCAGATAGGACTCAGTGACTAAACAAAAACAACAATTTGCACCCAGCAACCCACCTGTCAGACTGCTATATGGACCAATTTAGATGGCAACAGGGAATATAAGAGTGTTTCCATCATTAACTGTCATCATAGCTTGTTTGTCATTTCAATTTAATCTCACATTTATTGCAATGAGAACTAACACAGTGCTGGCATTTATCTGCTATAAATATCAAAACGAAACTTTGGCATTATAGAAAACATGGATATTTTGATAAGGACTTTCTACCATACCATCTTAGTAAGTTTTAAATGGTTGCAAATTATAGCTATTTTGGTAACATCATCAATTTTTTAGAGAGAAAGATCTATTGCTGAATTATTAATAATAGGTATTTTATACAGACAAGATAGTTGTATAAATTTATCAGCACTCTGCAAGGAGGAAGATGCATAGCTTCTTCCTGTTTTGTTTTCTTTTTTTTTTTTAATCAGTGTATTTTCAGGTGGCTGGTGATAATTCATCCAAAACAGATAAGAAAGCTTGGTTATAACAATAAAAACAAAGAGTAATCTGTCTCTTTTCACAGTCCAGGTCACCCATATCATTCAAACTATACAAGTAAATCACATTCATTTTACATTTTCGTTTGGATTAGCTGTAATTTCTTAGCAATGAACTAATGAAATCGGGCCCATTAAGGGAGGACAGCTTCCTAGGAGTTGTCTATTTATCTTGTTGAGAGAGAAAAGAACTCTCTCTAAGGCAGAATGGGGACCATGCCTGGTATAATCAGCAAACTCTCAGTTGTCTGGATTGATAGGGAAGTCATTTCCATGTCAGAACCAAAGACTAGAATTCCACTTTGCTGTTTAAAGTCAATGGAAAACTGAAGTTCTTAAGTTTCAACCAAGAGGCAAAAGAGAGCGTTTGAAATCTTCCACATAATATCTCTAGACAATACACAAGATGTCTTAACTGTAGTTGCCTCCAGGGGGGAGAATTTGGTGGGTAAAGGTTAGGAGTGATGAAGTAGGAGTTTGTGATAGGGGATTAGTGGTTCCTCTTACTATAGTTCTTGAATTTTGCACTGTATCTATATGGTACAAAAGTTTTCTTAAACTAATTTTTTTAAAACCCTATACATAAGGAAGTATCTATAGTCTTAAAATATTCATATAATTGCTGTTATTCAGACTCAGTATTGCCTGATAGCAAAGCAGTTACAATAGTTTCTGTTCAAGAATATTCTTTAAAACTAAGTTCTACCTTAATATATTCCATAGCTTTTTTTCTTATGCGTACATCACAGCTTCTCCCTAAATTCCTTTGGCTTCTGGTATGTGTGTGTGTGTGTGTGTGTGTGTGTATGTGTTCACAGCTCAGAGCTGAATTTTTATGCTGCTTAAAGGTCCTTCTACTTTCATTTCTTTGGGGATTATCAAGTGTGCAATGTCCATTAGCCACCAACTAAGAGAAAAGAAATGCACAGAGATTAAGTGGCAGATTTAAGCGGAGTTGTGAGAAGCAATACAAATCAAGAACAGTACCATTAAAGTACCTAAAGTTGTATTTCTAGCTGTAATAGATGTCTAACAATGTGTATTTTTCATTGGTTAATAAATACATTTTCTTTGCCGTCACAAAACTGCCAGGATCCCCCCCTCTACCACCTCTGCAGCCCCCATCACCTTCATTTACCTGCGTGAAAATAACCCAGTTTCTAATACCTTAGAGTAAGAGGATGTTAAAATATGAATGAGCTGACAACAGTAATAGCAAGCAAATCTCATAGTAGATTTTTATTTTCCTACCACAAGTTTCAACTTTTTCAAAGCTGTTTGATACCAAACAAACTTTCAAAACATAAAAACATTAACTGAAATTGATATTAGCCCTCCAACTTTTCAGCTAAGTTTGTATAAATTACACTGTGTTTATATGATTTCTATCAGCTGACTAAAAAAATGGGAAAATGCAAGGCTAACTATCTGATGTCAAATAATCAGCTAAATTTTAATGAGTGTTTTATGAGTTCTTTGTTTACAGGTTTTTAAATAAACTAACTGGTTAAGTCAAGAAGTCCAAATTAGTGTGTACACATAAATTTTGAAAAATTTTTGATGCATATAATCTTGAATAAATCTGTCTTCAATATATTCTCCAAGAAAACAAACACTTCCTCTACTAATTCTTAACTGCAGCATTGTGGAAAAATACAGTGTGGCTCCTATGTTATGTAACCGTGATTTACAATTAGCACATTTCTCCCTCTTTTCCTGTTGGTCTTGTGCCCAGGAATTGAGCCCTTACCTCCCATGTATTCCATGGATCACGAGCGTGTGCCTTGTACTTCCGGGGCAGAGTTGTTCCCAAGGCATATGTGTCACTCGCCTGGGATCTTCTTTTCTGGTTTTGAGGCATCAAAGGCGTCATCTTTTTCTTCCCCAGTCAGTGCCTCAGTTCCGTCTGTGCTCACCGGCTTGTGTTTGTTGTGTTTGGCCCAGTGGACTCTCCAGGGGTCCTTTATTCTTCCTTTCTCCTTCTCTGGAGGCTTATTCCCTTTCATCCTCCCCCCAGGCCCAGTTTTGCTGGGTAACTGGCTTTTCTCTTCTGATTTATGCCTGGGGTAAGGCAGCTGTCTTTTAAAGATAAGAACCAGAAAACAGAGATATCAAAAAGACATGAAGAATAACCTAGGAAAGACAAAAAACCCTTGTCCCTAAAAATGTCTTTGTCATTAGATTTTTTTATGCTGAACACCCAGATTTATTTCCTCTTGTTCCTCAGTTTGAACAAACTAAGTTAGTCAAAGTGCCTCAATCTGAAGAAAAATAAAACAGGGAAAAGGCTGTTTTTGCCAAAGTAATACAATATAAAAAAGGACTAATTTGAATCTTCTTCATTTTTAGTAACTGTTAAAATTATATTAGTATAATAAAAAGGAAGTGATTTTGCTCTAAAAGAAAGTATAGGATGAAAAGATGAAGCAGAAGAAAATAAATGGCAGGAACACCAAGGAAAATGAAAAGCTAAGTAAGGTAAGCTAAAAATCATGAAGCAAAAGTAATACATGGTTATATTATATTGATAAAGTTAACCTGTACCTTTGGACTCACAAAATGGAGGCCACCACAGTGGCCAGGCCAACATCACAAATCTAAACCTAAGCTATACTGCACTATGGAAAATCCCTGTCAAGAAAATTAACATACACCAGTCACTGTCTTCCATCTCCAACTCAGCTTGACTAAGCTCATCTTAGAAAACAGGGCCTGCTGGCCTTACCAGGAAATCCTTGACCTCCTGTTTCCTAGTTCCTACTTCTAATCTATGCATGCCTCACCTTCCTCATTTATCAAATGGGAATACAAGCCCTTACTCCTACCGCTACGGGCAAATAATGAGGACTACATGCATAGGAATAGCAAATGTCCATTAACTATTCACAAAGACAAGTAATAAAATATGGTTCGGGATTCTGAAATTGAATTCTATGCTCTAGTGCCCACACAATTAAATGTAACTAAAGCTGGGTTTTAATTCTAAATGCTAACTGAATTTTATGATGATTTCCCCAAATGAAATAGTCATTTAAAAATGAGTAGTTTCAAAAGGACCATCCATACCAACTGCCTAGCTAAGCAAGTCACTTTAGTTTCCTGGAAATGGGTATCCTTATCTGAGCCTAAGAGCCACTGAGATAATTTCCATTCCAATTCTAAGTTTTTATTTTATGGTATTTGCTACAAGAACTGATACTCATTCACTGATTAATTTGGAATATCACAAATTAGATGATATGATGGCATAATTCTTAGTCTTTATAATTTATGAGTATTTTAATTTAGAGTGAAGAGAATAAAAAGGGAAATATGACCAGACTAAGAGGAAAAACCTAAAGGAAAGACTGTATGGAATCCTGCAGATCTCTGATTTCATTTCTATAACTATTAGATCACTAAGGCTGTGTGCAATTAAATGTGTTAAGTCAGAAATTCCTAAACATCATGGTATATGAAACTAATGTGAGCCTCTGGCTTAAAAACATTAATTTCTAGGACCTCTGATTCAGGAAGTCTGAAGGATGAAGCCCTTGAATTTGTATTTATAACAAACACTCAAGGAAATTACTTTGTAGGCAGACCACAATTTGAGAAAACATTGTGCTAGGTGGTATTTCTTATGTCAAACACAGCTTGATTATTGCATATTAGATCACATAATGTATGGGAGCTTCCCAGGTGGCACAATGATAAAGAATCTGACTGTCAATGTAGGAAATGCATGTTCAGTCCCTGGGTTCCTGGCAACCTGCTCCGGTATTGTTGTCTGAAAGATTCCATTGACAGAAGAGCCTGGTGGGCTACAGTCCATGGGGTCACAACGGGGCACATGCAAACATCCTATAATATGAACGTATTTTCTTCTCACAAATAACTACCCACAATGGGTCTAGAAGATCCCCTGGAGGAGGGCATGGCAACCCACTCCAGGATTCTTACCTGGAGAATCTGCATGGACAGAGGAGACTGGCAGGCTACAGTCCATAGCATCGCAAAAAATCGGACACGACTGAGCGAGTAAGCACACACACACACACAAGCATGCCCTAGTGTTATCCACAGGGAGAGCTACTGTCATCTGGGAAAATATAAATATGTTTCAATTTGGATGTAAGTTCTTCTATGTTGTACATGCTAAGCAGCAGTTAAACAATTTAATGTTTATGTTTCTCTTTGTCCTTAATCACAAAACAGGACTGACCTGAAACACTTCTTTTAAGGATTACGAGAAATAAGTATTTCCAAAACTCTAAAGCGACTTTAAACATAACACTGATGGTCATACTTCTTCAGTTCATGATTCTTCTCAAGTGTGTAGGGTTCTTGAGAGCAGGGACTGCATCTTTAAAAACTTCTTTTTGTGAATAGCTATTATCTTCCCCGGTGGCTCAGCGGTAAAGAATCAGCCTGCAAAGCAGGAGACTTGCAGGAGACTGGATCAGGAAGATCCTCTGGAGAAGAAAATGGCAAGCCACTCCAATGTTCTTGCCTGGAAAACCCCATGGACAGAGGAGCCTGGTGGGCTACAGTCCATGGAGTCGCAAAGAGTTGGACATGACTGAGCGACTAAACAACAATCTGCCTAATATCCCTTCCTGTTTATTTTGGTAACAGAATCCTGATTTTCCTTTGGGAAACCTCTGTTCTTGCATTCTCAGATCATGTTGTTAGTGCAGAGGAAAGTGGCTCCACTCTGGGTCCACTTGAGTGCCTATGACTGGACTAGCAAGTCAGAGCATCCCATTCCTCCCTGCCACTGTGATTGGTTCAGGAATTTGTAAGTATCCAAGACCAGCCAATGGGAGCCAGACCCAGAGATTTTGCTGAAACTATGGGAAAGACACCTTTCTTTTTGAACTAGCTGAACCTCCAACTAAATGCAACCTGGAGTGATGTTCACCATCACAAAAGAAATCCTGGCTGAAAACAAAGCCAATGAAAAAGAAAAGAGAACCAAGAGTTTGAAAGACTTGTCTGATGACATTGTTAATCACATCGAGACTTTTCCAGCACAAGAACCTGCCTCTGGCTCTCTCTCATTCCTAGGCAATTATCAGGCAGTTGGAGGTTTTCAAATGCTGACTAATTTGTTTGCTAATGAAATAAAAATCCTTAGTCACAGACTACAAGGCAAAATTGTTGCTTAAATTCATCGTTGCAAAGTTTTGGCTATTCATTCAAAAGTAACGCATGCATGTATGTAACTGAGAGGTTTTTCAATTTAATCAGCAGAGCAACCCCAAATATCTTGTATAACTTCTAGACAGTAAAATTAGCCACGATCCGTAAATTATTCTTCTTTGTACAATTAGCCAAATAATTCCCTTACTTGTTACCCAAAATCATTCAGTTTGAAGGATGAGTCACAGCCTGATTGTCTGGTTTTAGTTTAAAATCTCGGAACTCAGAGCTCTCTTAATCCTTGCTGTTTTTGAAATCTGGAAACCGTCATTTACCCTCAGTTCCTGCATCTGTAAAAATCAACTAGGATAAAGGGCTCACTAAGTAGGTAGATTTGAGGTTTTTCTCTTTGATCATATAGATGTTTTTAAGTTAAAACGGTGGCTTGAAGTGAAGGACTCTTTATTCCTTTAACATACTGCCATCATGTGGTCACTTTGCTCATTCACATTCAAGTGTTTCCAAGATACTGTTTACAGTGACGCCTTTCTTCAGCAACATGTAAAGCAGGAAGCCCTCAAAGAAAATGAGAATGAATAGAACACATCCTTCCCATGAACTTAGTGCCAAGTATGGCATAAAATAGGTATAACTTGCCAAAGATGTGAAATATACATGCAATTTGCCAAAGTCCATGATGGAATATGGTAGGAACCTGAAAAATTTAAGGTGAGTCAACTGTCTTAAACTACAATCTATTTTAAAACGTAAGGCCATAATTTTAATAAAGCTATTTAATAAAATTTTACATTAATTGTTTATTAGTTCTTTGCAACATCTCAACAATCATCTTCATTTTATTTCTGAGCTGCTTGAGACCCATAAAGTATTTGCCAGATAGATGTCTCAGTAACCTAAAAGCAAAAGCGAGGCTTTACTCATAATTTGGTTAAAAAACCTTGGGCTTGTAGAGCTTTATGTAGTTTATACTATTGTTTTTGTGTCCTGTGAGATAGATAGACAGAAGAATTAGAGAAGATGCCATCAAAATTTTCTGGCTTTAGTATATTTCTTTTCTGCATTTTGTTTTAAATTTAGGTGCTCCAAAAAGTTGGTTTCATTCAATCGGATGGATCCATGTGAAAATACCGGTGAGTTTTGAGATTTGTATTGATCTATGATTTCCTATAATCAAAGGAAAATTCAATAAAAATAGTAGGATTAAGTTCTATTGTAATATTGTCAAATTGTTTCCAGAAAAAGTTTTAGCACCTAGAACAAATTAGAGAAGTTGTGCTTTTTAAGTCTCTCTCACACACAAAATGTTTCTACTGCTGCATACGCAGGACACATACGTACCAAAATCTACATTTATGTAATTGCCTACATTATGTCTGCAAATTATTCTTTTAAAATATCACTCCCATAGATTGCATACTGAGAGGTCTTCTCAGGCCTGCTCACATTTGGAAATGCCATTATCTCAGACTCCTGGCCCTTGGCACTACTATCTTCTCAAATTAGAAGCCTATACAGCCAAAAAAGTCTTTTACAGTCTGCTTTCCTCCTCTCTTAAACACAAAATTTTATTAAGATTAGCAACAGGATTAATGTTGATTGTGTCCCTCTCAAAATTCAAACGTTCCAGTCTGCATCTATAGAACTCCAAAGGCAACCATATTTGGAGATACTATCTTTCTAGAGATAAGTGAGTTAAATGAGGTCATTTGAATGGGCCCTAATTCAGTA